GTCAGTTTTTAGGTGAAAACTGACCATTGCTGGATGTTACACTATATAATTATAAATAAACCACTAATTGAATTGGAAGTACATTATAAAAGTATTTGCACAGCCAACATTACACTATAGGTTAATTTTTGATCATTTTAATAAGCAGTAAAGGTAAAACTTTGCTGCCCTGAATAGTAAATTTGACTGTTTCCTTCTTTTATTCATCTCATTGTTAGAATTGAACAGATCTTGGGTCGAATGTTACAACTTTTGTAAAGAAAAAGAGTAAAATGATGCATCATGACATCATGAATATATTGGCAACAAGATTCTCCAAATATCTTCAGACATGACTGATTTTGTGCCATTGTTTACCTAATAAATTTATGCATATTTCAGTTTCTTTTATTTAGCATCATTTCACCCCATGCTGTCGTAGAACAGCTTTGCAGAGAAGCTAGTCTGCATTATTTCCACACCAACACACATTGGTGGTGTGAGATGTGCAGAAAGTAAAAAAAAAAAGAAAAATAAAAAGGCTGTGACCTCAGCTCTTTGCAGTGCCATTAGGTGTTTTTATCACCAGCTGGCCTTTAATAAGAGCCAATGCAGACACCAACAGGTGTTAAATGAGTGCCACCATATGCATTAATGCTGGGTGTTGCTTAGACATCTGTTGGTGTGTATTTTAAGTGAAGACCTGTACATCTGAAGTGGGGTTATGTTGTTATGATTTATTTAGTTTACTATAGTGTTTCCATACCAACATTCTAGTTTGCTGATCACCCTGCACATCTGCAGTGACTTGAACTCTCCTAATGGTGGAAGCAGACAACCTGTTTCAACATTTTTTTCTGCTGCCATTTGACCAGATTTTATCAGCTTAATGAACTCTAATCATCCAAATTAAAAACACCAATTTAGCATTAATATCCAAAGTTCTGCTGATGTTTTATTCATCTGGCTGCTTCCTCGCAGTGTATCTTACATTTTCTATCTGTGGATGTTTAAGGCTGAGCTAATTTATCTCTTTAATTAATTTCCACCACCCTGTGAGATACTTTGGTTTTTCTGAAGGTAGAGGCTAAATTAGGAGATTCCTTAAACTGCTTAGCTAGTTTCTCATCAACCAGTTGAGTGATTGTTCATATAGTTCTCATATTTTTAACGTTTTGCATTTGTACCCTGACATATCAATGGCATTAGTACGCAACAGATCTAAACAAAATGCATCCAAAATCACTCAAATTTGAGAAACACTGAATTTCAGAAAGACATTTTAAAAAGTTATTTGAAATCTTATTTCAACATTTATTGTAGAACTTTTGAACACTTTAATTCACCTGTTGCTGTCTTCACATAAACATCCACAAAATCTATGGAGATTTTAAGGGAAACTGCAGTTTTAGTTGAAATGTCTCTTCAGCGGCTGCGCAGTGGCTTCCTCCCACAGTCCAAAAACATGACTGTTAGGATGATTGGTCTGTCTAAATTGTCCTTAGGTGTGTGTGTGTGCATGATTGTTTGTCCTGTGTGTCTCTGTGTTGCCCTGCGATGGACTGGCTCTCTATCCAGGGTGTACCCCGCCTGATTGCCCTTTGACCGCTGGAGATAGGCACCAGATCCCCTGTGACCCTGCGTGGACAAAGCAGGTTCAGAAGATGGATGGATGGATATCTCTTCAGCTTTCATTAAAGGAGTGATTCATCATTAAACCAAGTATATTAGCTGTATTCATAATTTAATTCAATTCAATTCAATTTAGTTTATTTCTATAGTCGACACGACTATAATCACATAAAGAGTTGTCTCAAGACACTTCACATAGTAAACAATCCAATACAGTTAAGTTCATCAAGCCAATCAGTAAAAACTTTCCAAAATAAGGAACCCAGCAGATTGCATCGAGTCACTGACTAGTGTCAGAGTCTTTACAGCAATCCTCATACTAAGCAAGCATGCAGCGACAGTGGAGAGGAAAACTCCCTTTTAATAGGAAGACACCTCCAGAGAATCCTGGCTCAGTATAAGCAGCCATCCTCCACGACTCACTGGGGATTGAGAAGACAGAGCAGACACACACACACACACACACACACACACACACACACACACACACACACACACACACACACACACAACATATAGTGTTTCTATGGCTACATTGTGATTTCTTAGTAAATATTGTATTTAGTAAGAGATAAACTTTATTGTATTTGTCCTTGTGGATCTATAATTAAAAGGGTAAACTAGTAGTAGCACATTCCATGTCAAAGAAAGCAAAATGATATTATCAGAAGAAGGAGAATGTTTAAATGGTTAGCAACAGTGTTGAAGCCGATGGCCCCCTCCATGAGGCTACCACAGCTCACCAGAACATTATTGTAGCTCCTTCTGGGGAGAAAAACTGAGAGAAAATAAAGTTAACAGCTGTAGTAGGAAATATTGCAATTAGAGAGAAGTGGTAGAAGAAAGTAGTAGAGTGTAGAAAGTGGTCAGTATGTCCTCCAGCAGTCTAAGCCTATAGCAGCATAACTACAGAGATAACTCTGGATAACCTAGCCTTTTAGATGGACGCATGTTGTAGGCAGGGCAAGGGAGAGCCGTCTTTACCGACTGTACACTCCACCTCCCTCTACTCCCCCACTTGTCCAGATTTAGGCCAACATCAGAATTTAACCATAGACCCTATCAAATAAAAATGTTTTAAGCCTATTCTTAAAAGTAGACAAGGTGTCTGCCTCACAGACTAAAGCTGGGAACTGGTTCCACAAGAGAGGAGCCTGATGGCTAAAAGATCTGCCTCCCATCTTATTTTCAGATATTCTGGGAACCACCAGTAAACCTGCAGTCTGAGAGCGAAGTGCTCTGTTATGCATGCATGCAGGAAAAGTGCTGGAGGCAGACTTCAGTGCCACCATGTCAGCTCCACTTTACTAAGTCCAACAGGGACCTTTCAAGTGTGGTTTTCTGGCCTTAGGGTGTGGTCTGAGTTACATTTCATTAATCCTGATTTCCATCCATGATTTAAACAAATGAAAGTTGCATTGTATGCCTTTAAACTTTTGTTTTGAAAGAAGTCAGCATCAGCAACATATATACATGTTTTATTCTGATTAATTATTTACAAATTAATTGCATATGTTTTGGAAATGTGTGTCTGGCTTGAATAAGATGAATTTATGGTTTGTGTGAACATTAATAGGATTTATTAAAGAACACCAGTTTTCCTTAGGGGGTCAGTGGGTTGGCCAGAAATTTTCGGGGGGTACCCTGGCCACCCCTTTGGGGCTCAACTGAGAGTATCATCAAGATCCAGATAAAACAGTCGAGGGAGAGCACGTTTCATAGCTCAGTAAAGGTCAGTGTTCTTGACTATACTGGCTGATAGACAGAGCCAGTAATAACATCCATGGTAGACTTGGCGTGGTCAGAAATCACAGCTAACCCGAAGGCCATCGAGTGTTGCTACAAAAAACCTTTATGACCCTCAAACCTTTGGGGGAATGCCGTTGTTTGAATTCATGGCAGGGAGCACACATCTCCAACACCACTAAAAGAAGAACTAACAATAAATGATGTTTCTGTGATACTCTGCTGCTTCTGGGTTTATAATATTTGTCATAATTAAAGGAAACATGAAAAGAGCATCATAATTCTAGGAAATGGGTCTGCAGGATGGCTGCAACATCTCACTAGTCCCAGTCGTGTGAGTAGCTCCACCTGTGTGGACAGGTTTACAGTAGCTGTTGATGTTTGCAAAGCCTCCATGGGCTGCACTCAGGCACTTTGGATTAAGAAGAGATTTTGCTTGCAGTTGCTGCTGCTAAAATTGACAAAAATGTGGAGTATTTTGACTGACTTTTGTCTCTCTAACCATGACGCTCCCCAGACCCACCATCTCCCGGTTTCTGTCCGAGACTGTTGTGGTTCATAAGTGACATGTTGAGCCTGTTCATCTCATTCATGTCAGGACTGATTCATGTTTTCCAGCTTATTGTGGATGGATGAATTATCTACACAGTTCATTTGCATTTTGTGATTGATTTCAGTCTTGCATTTGTATTCTCTATGAGGGGAAAAATGAGCATAACTGATGAGCACTGTCATTCATGTTGTCACCCAAACTACAGGAGGAGTTTGCTCTGAGTGAGTTGTGCAAATCTTGTCTCGCTGTGTTTATGCATTTAGTGTTTGCTTGGACATGAATGTCTGAGAGGATGTTTGCTTTTGTGTGCTGAAGAGAACGTCCCAGCGCTGGCTCGGGTTTCCTGTGCTGGATTATTCTCATCTGTGTTAATATGGCTGCGTCTCTCAGGGAGGAATGTGTCTTTTCCATCATTGTGTGTCTTTTTTTTTTCCTGAGCCTCTCTCTATGCCAGATTTGTTAAATATCTGTAAGCCTGTCACTGTGTCTGCAGCTTTCCTCCAAACCAAAATGAACGACGCAGTTAAATAATAAGCTGAAGGCTAACAGAGGGACCCCATCAACCTCTGAGCTCTATCCTCTCTGAAGCCATCAATCGAGCGACTAAAGCTAAGCCGCATAATGACATTGTGGCGGTGTACTTGCGCCGTACTGCAAAACATATTAATGTTAGCTATAATGAGTTTGACAGCCCAATATGGTTGTCAAGGCTCATGGTGAAGTCACGCGGGCTAACACTGCCCTCAAATGGTAAACATGAGGCAAAGCAGCTGCAGTAGAAGCTGCAGTGTTGGGTTTTGTGATATTGATTTGAGCAGATAATTTATTTTCCATGGCTGTTTTTAATGGGTAAGAACCCTTTTGACACTGTAATAATTTAAATGGGACTGAAACACCATCAATTACTTGATTACCCAAATGCTTTTTTTCCTGCTTGATGCTCATTTATCTGTTTTTTCACATTTTGCTTTGGATTGTTTTTGTATTTTGCAAGCTGTCTGAAGTCAAACCAGTTTCTATAAGCACAACATTTGTAGGAAAATTATGCTTTTAATTTATATGATTGTTTTTCTTTCATCCCGTGTCTTAGAATCCTGGAACTCCAGCAGAATGGTGACATGGATATCCTAAAACTAAAGTGGTGGCCCAAGGACAGCCCGTGTGACCTCTACAGCTCAGACCAGACGCGGCAACGTGGCAATGCCCTTGATATCCACAGTTTTGCCGGAGTTTTCTGTGTCCTGGCAGCTGGCGTGGTGCTCTCCTGCCTCATTGCAATGGTGGAGAGTTGGTGGTCACGACGGAAGGGATCCAGAGTCCCCTCCAAGGAGGTAAGGGGATGGATGGAATGACATACAAATAAGGGATTTAGTGACAGAGAGTGGCGCCCTAGAACTGGAGACTGAAAATATGCAATATTCATGAAACCGAGTAATTCGGGTTTAATTCAAGCAGATGTTGAACACTCCTGACTTCACTCACCAAAACTCGGTTCATCCCTTTGCCTTTGCACATTTTCCTCAAAAAAACTTTAGATTATGTTTAAAGCTGTGGTTTGCTGAAAAAAAATATTTTTAATGATTATTTCTGATTTGTAATCTGTCGCTCTGAGTTTTTCAAACAGGTTGAAAATAAAAATAGTCTCCTACTTTAGATTCTGATTTTGAAGTTTAGGATTTGAAAAGCCTGACAGTTCTACGTCCCACTGTAACTTAACATTCATGGACTCACCCATCTTGGCTTGCGACAGGGAATGCTGCTGATGGTTTAGCGTCCAGGGAACAGCAAACATTTAAGCTAGTAGAAGCTAATTGTTAGCATTAGCAACTCTACCACATAGCAGAACTCCTCCAGTCTTGTGTTATCTGTGGGGATAAAAAATCAACGTTGCAAAGTAAACGGAGTACGTGGAGAGTCGCATTGCTGTTAGCCAATCAGAGATGAGATGTCCAAATATCAGGAAGTAAGACTCCACATCCTGTCGTTCGAAGCTCTCCTCTGATCTGGCAATCTTCTAGATCCTGAAACAGGCGCACTAGGACTTTTTGTACAAAGAGCATGGCTTACAAAGCATTCATTCCTACTAGAGATCACTGCAAATGTATTGATTAAACAAGTGAACTACATCTTTGCCAACTTCCCATTAGCATATCAATCACCAATCTCTCTCATACAGCGCAGATTATACAGAGAAGTCTATTGGAGCATTGCATTAATTTCACTTTCAACCACAATCACAGTGTTACTGTGACAGACTGTTTAGAAAGCAGCCTGTCTGGTTATTATTTCTAATCGTTTGTGCAATTAGAGTTACCATTAAATTATAAAATGATTTGCCAAAGAGACGCTGTCTGCCAGAAGCAAATTGAATCTGAGTGTTTAGAGGATTAAGTAGCAAATATAACACAACTTAATTGGAGAGAGGACATTTTATTTATTTGCATTTTTTATTTTATTTCCTCATTAGAGCACAATCAGTTTGACGTCCAATAAGATATCTAACTGTTACTCCATCCACGTTCAGGGTTAGTGAAGAAGGCGTCTGCGTTCCTGCAGGATCTCACCCGCTTCTGCGTTTGAATATTTCTGTTTTGAGCAATTCATCTGTGATCGGAGGAGACGTCAGCTTCTCATTCCTGCTACAAAGTCAGTGTTAATGAGAGGAGGGGGCTCTGGCCGTACACAAACAGCTCCAGGGCCTGTTTGCACCGTGGAGAACATGGCAGAGTCAGAAACGCGGACTGACTCCGTTAAACATGGACTTTTTTTTTTCTTATCAACGTTGCTCCCACCTAAGAGGAGGGAAAAAAGGCTGTGGCAGCACTCTGCCTTGTAAATTAGCAGCGGCACCATGTGAAATATCTAATCAGTCTATGTGCTGATGATCACCTCAGCAGGGATATCATTTGAAGTAATCAAAATGACTCAGGAAACATTTTCCTCTGGCGGAGGAAAAACATCTCCTGAGATGCAGTTGCATATGTGATGTTGTTTAGGGAAAAACCAACATGGCGGCACATTTAGTTGCTTTTTTTTTGCACAGCTTATGGAGCTTTTCACCACTGATCGTCATAGTTATGCCTTATTTAAACCAAGCAAACTTGTTGTGCATCAGAGCAAATGTGTTTTGGATTACTGTGGATCTGGACCTGTATGAGCAGGTGTGAAGGTCATCGCTAAACATCTTCAAAAACATTATTTAATTAAGTATACTGATTCATTATAGTTCATTATGATTACCCAAAGCATAATAATCATTCATTTGATTAAAATACATTTATAATGAGCAAAGTGATCAAATGATTATTTAACATTAATAAAGAAAGGAAAGCTTAAGACTCTGTTTTATTATGACTAGGCTGTGTGTGAAGTCCTTCTTCTGGAGATGCAGGTGTTGGATGTTGTGGAGTCCTTCAGACTTGCTGGCAGCTTAGGTCTTAATCTGTGGGTGAAGGTGCTGCGTGACCCAGCTTTGACCCAGCCGGGCAAATACGACCTTTGGCACAGAAACCCATACTTCCTCACGTTACACTTATTATATCCAGATTCCCACATCCGCACTGCTGTGTTTACCCAGACACAGAGGGAGAAAGTCCTCATGTTGATCATTTTAATCAAAACTCCGAAATTGCAGCAAAGTGTATCGGATGTGAAATGCAAAACAAGCCAGCGAGGAACTCCCAGACATGTAATTATGTGTGAAACAATATTTTCACTTTTGGTTTAGAGTTAATCATTTACGTGTCAGTAACAAAATGGACCGGCGCATGAAGCAGCTCAAATTAGCTTTTTTTCTCTTCTTAGGAGAAAATGTTTTTGCCATCAGGTAAATTACTTCCGTTTCAAACAATGGCTTCTTTCCCCTTCTTGAGAAGCCGTTTGATAAAGGCGGGTCAAGGTTAAATTGCAGATAATGGCTTAAGAGAATTAATGAGGAGCGGTTTCCTAACCTATCATTGAACCGCTCGTCCTTATTGAAATAATCCTGTCAATCATGAGACAGCTTTACCGGCGGGGTCCATCACACCTTATTAACAAATATTGCCATTAAAAGGAGGTAAAACGTTAACCGTAACATTCATCCTCGGGTTTCTGACGACCAGACAGGAGGAGAAGGAGTCGATCTCGTCTCCTTAATCTTTGGTGTCAAAGTAATTTAAAGTAACATCAAGAATAAAATAAGAAAAATGGCAAAAAGATGAGAAATTGAAATTGTGACTCAACTCAAAACGACAAAGACAGATAAGGTTACTTTTCATAATAAAAGGCCAATAGCAGCAGTCATCTGGAAAGTAATTTAAAGAAAAGTTTCAGCGTATAATCTCTATTACATGTCTATTTTAGATGATTGAATCAGTGGACTCTAGTGTCATCAGAATTATTGCATTGCCACTGCAGGCTGTAAATTCTGCATGGGCTGTTCAGTGATTTGTGCTGTTGAGATTTGTCATGAAGCAATCAGAGATACTACAAATAGAGATAGTATTTGTTTGCCGATTTCAGCGAATGGGTGGGCTGTGGCATGTACGATGTGTTTCATAAGCTGTGATCACTTTAGTGGGCACAGGACAGTGTCACAAGCCAATTGGAGGTTTCTTATGGCTTTTTCAGCCCAGTCCAATGAATAACCTGCAACTGCTTGGAACAGATCAGCAACTGAAAATGATTTGGTGGCTTTATTACAAGTCCTCTGGGCTATTAGTTTATTGATCTATTTACGTGTCAAATTTTATTTGCGCTCCAAGTCCGATCTTTCTTTCTTAGATGCAAAAGTCATTGTAAGCCAAGCCGTGCTTGTTGTGCAAGCAGAGGCTGTAGTTTCAGACGGGGTGAGTTGGTGTAAAACTATTTGTTACATGGAAATTGTTGATCCTGGCTAAATTATTCACATTTTATCATATTTTAGCAATGTGTTTAAAATAAGCACAAACAAAAAAAAGCACTCCTATAAAATGAAATTATTGCATGAACAGTAGAGCCAGCAGCATAACTGATTATTATTTTATTGTTATTTGTATCAATCGCAATGTTGATCAGTCATGGTTTTACTGTCACTTCAACAAGGACGTCAGCACCTGCTGTATAATAAATAATGATACGAAAGGGTGATTACTGTCTGCAGGGCCATGTTTCGTCCAGAATTAAGCCAGTTGTCTTTTATTTTGAAGCGGAGATATTATGCAAAACTCACCTTTTACATCCTTTTGTGCTGCAACGTGGGTCTCTACTGGCATTTAAACACTCCAAACATGAAAAAAAAAAAACTTCATCCTTTTTCTGTCAGTGTTTGGTTGCCTGGAATAAGCCTTTAAAAAAATAGAAAAGAATCACCAAGAGAGAGCTGCTGCTAGAGTAGCCCCTCCCAGATATTGGAGCATTTCAGCTTATAGCAGCCTGGGCATGGGATGGGTGGGCGTGGCCACCTCCAGCTTGTTTTCTTAAAGGTGTGGTTCACTCACTTAATCAATACATTTGCAGTGTTTTCTAGTAGGAATAAATGCTAGATAAATGTTGCACTCAGGGTACAAAAAGCCCCGGTGTACCTGTTTCACGATTTAGAAGATTGCCAGATCAGAGGAGAGCTTCAGACAGCAGGATTTGGAGTCTTACTTCCTGATATTTAGACATCTCACCTCTGATTGGCTAACAGCAATGCAACTCTAACCACTGTCTCTGTTTACTTTGCAGCATTGATGTTTTATTGTCACAAATAACACAAGCCTGGAGGAGTTCTGCTGTGTGGTGGAGTTGCTAACGGTTAGCTTCGACTAGTCGAGGAGTTCTCGTCCTGTCGTGAGTCAGGATGGGTGAGTCCATGAATGTTAGGGGACAGTGTGACGTAGATCTGTCAGGCTTTTCTAATCCTTAGAGTTTCCTTGTCTATTTTCTATCAGCCGCTAATGCAGGAGATAGGAGTAGGAGACTATTTTCATGTTCAGAATGATCATGGAAAAACTCAGTAACTGATTATAATCAGAAATAATAATTTAAACATGTTTTTTTCAGAGAGCCACACCTTTAAAGTGACAGATCTGTGAAACCGCTCATTCTGGAAGGTACTGAAATAGGAATGAAACTCCTAAAATCAATATATATGAGGAACTTGGAGCAAATAACTCTATAAACCTGTTTTTTTAGACCATAGCAATATTAAAAACATTTATTTTTAGCATAATAGGTCTTATTTAGCAGTTTGTAAAGAAAATGATTTCTCTATTTGGTGCAACTGATGCTGTTAGAGCAATAGGAATGGTAGTCAGACTCGTTAAACCAACAACAATGTTACAGCAGTTAGTAAGTAAATGCGCCCTCATTACCTTTGGTTTGCTTA